AAGTTCAAATTTTTTTAGGGTTTTTGTGAATATAAAATATAAGTATCTTTTAATTTCTAAATTGTTTATAAATTGTTTTAGAAAAAATTATATTAAAAAGAATATTTCTAAATTAAATATATTTTTTAATAATCATGAATATGTAATACTGTGAAAACTAAAAATAAGATAATAAAATAATGTTGTGGAAGAAATACACATCGAGCACATCATTGTAATTTATTTATTTAAATAGATTATTCTAATGACCCTAAATTAAATTAAACCAATTGAATTAACAAAATATTTAACGGTTCGTTCTTATCCAAAAACCTGTTTATTTATTTATTTACTTTGTTTTTATTTATACAAAGCTTTTATTTAATTATTATTTACCTTGTTTTGTTTTGGCAAATTAGTGGTTCTCATTTCCGGATCAATATTAAATTGTACTCAAATAATTTTCTTTGTTCTTTCTACTCTTCCTAACGAGATTGAAAATCATATTAAATCTCATATAATTTCTACGATAAATAAATATTTATTCAAAAGAACAGTTCATAATTTTATTTTCATCCACAAATTGAGAAAAAAGAAATAGAAGTGGAAAAAATATTAATTTGAATGTTGAGACTTTTTTTTGACAATGTTATTAGTTTCTACTGGGAAAATATTTTAAAAAAATACATGTCTTAATTAAGCATATAAGTTTGGTGGGTCCATGTTATTTACCCCCTTTCATTTTTTTCGAAATTTTCTTACAGAAATTTAAATAATATATTAGTATAATTTGTCTGCTCCTCAGATTAGTCCAAACATTAAATTACAAAAAGAAAGTTTGAAATTTTAAAATAATAAAGATAATCAAAGGTAAGAAAAAATAAAATAAAAATCTAAAAATTCCTAAACTTGTATTTTGGAGTAATATTAATTCCTAAACTTGTAAAGATGCCTATAAATTCCCAAACTTGCAAAATTGAACACGTTAAATTCTGAACTTGTTAAACGGTTCCATATTCGTGGCGCGTGACGTGGCGAGCCACGTCGGATCGGTCAACTCGTTTTTTTTTTTTACCAAATAACGCTATGGACGAATATGGAACTGTTTAACAAGTTTAGGATTTAACGTGTTCAATTTTGCAAGTTTGGGAATTAATAGACACCTCTACAAGTTTAGGAATTAATATTACTCCAAAATACAAGTTCAGGAATTTTTAGGGTTTTTTTCCTTTTTTTTTTATATAAAAATACAGTGGATTAGTATTAAAATTTTAGGGTTGATTTAACACTACAACTAGCTTAAAACAGTCTATCAAATAAATAAATAAAAAATCTAAAAATCTTTTCGGATATAATTTTCTGGAGTGTAATTATTATATATATATATATGTATATATATTTATAATGGCATTTGGTGCATCTTAATAGGTCCATGAGTTTTATCCCAAAAAAAAAAAAGGTCCATGAGTCCTGTGCCACTTCACTATTATTGTTTTGTTTTGTTTGATCTTTTTGAATTTGTCAATAATTTTAGATATGTCCTTAGAGATCACCAAAAGACGTATGCAACCACAACCACATATATATATATATATGTCATATATGTTATAAAATGTTTAATTTCATTTCATTAAATTCCCCCCAAAAATAAAAAGTAGCAGCAGAGGAAATTATCTTTCATCTATGGGGGGAAAAGGGCATGAAAAATTCACTTCTGGATCTCATTTTCTATTTGTGTAATCGTATGTATGCATATTAATTCGCAAACATGCATACACATGTACGTACATATCACCTAAGACATATTCATACTTTGCCTCCTTTTCTCAAACGTTTCTTTTTTACATGTTTGGGAAGAAAATTTTCAATTGTTTTTTTTATTTACAAATTAAAAAAAAAATTAAAACATAGTAATGTTATAGATTTGGAAAAAATAAATATTATAAAAAAAATTATTCAAGTTTTAGAGTTGCCATGTTTATAATAACCATAAAATACAATCATACTAAACTATGATTATCTAATATAGCATAAAACTAAAAAAAAAATTAAATATTAAATAATTATTGTAATTTTTTGAAGTTTTTCTTTAATTAACTTTTTTATATATATAAAGAAATCTTTTTAAACCATGTATTATGTAATTTAGGCCTAAAATACAAGATCAATTGGGTTTATAGAGTATAAACAGAATGTCTGAACATGGGCCAATGTTTTATTTGAAATAGGCCTTAGTTCAGACCCAATATTATTGGGCTACAAAAGCCCATTAAAGTTTTTTTTTCCGGTAAAATATTTTTTTCCTCACTAACCATGACACATGTGATAAAATTACAAAAACAACCCTACACCTAACAATAAATACCGGTATGATCCACTTCAATGAGTGGTTTTGTTAGCAACGGAGCGCCAACGGTTGCAGATAAGCATACAGAGCAAGAGGACATCGACCACCAGTCCTACATTTACACGTGTCGCCGCCTCAGGCTTTCCAGATTTTTTTTTCCTTTCCCGGAAAAAAGTTTTGATCTTTTTTCCTCGTTGGAGAGGGATAGATTGGCTGACAGACGAAGGGGAAAGATGGGGGAGATAAAAGACGATTAAATTTCTCTCACTACCCAGTATACCCACCAACCCTTCTGCCTTCTGGGATTCTTGTGAGAGAAAGTCGGTTTTTTTTTTCTTAGGAAAAAAAAAGTTTTGGACATGTCGAGCAGTGCTGCTTCATTGTGTTTTTCACCAACTCATTTCAATGGGTCTGGTCTCAGACCGGAAAGGGTTATTCTTTCTCGCCCCAGTTCATTCTTTTTCTCCAGGTGATTGTTTGTTATTTTAGCTGATCTTCTCGAACTGGAAATTCTTTTGGTTTCCGTGAAATTTACTGGGATTTACAACTCAGATGAGAGCTTTAATGATTACTGAATGGTCGAAGCTTGGTTTGATTGTGGAAGTCCACTTCCAGAGAGAAAACGTTGCAGTTTTAGTGGACATGCGTTAGGAATTCACGCTCTCGGAAGAGTATTAAACTTCATTGTATGTGCTGTGTTTGCGCGGAGATACTTGTTCTTGAGATGGGTTTTGCTGATTTAGATGTTATGTTATAATTTAGGATTACCTTACATTCTTGTTTGATTCTGCAGAGTTGTAAATTTGATGTCCTTCATGTGTTTGTGGAAGTGTGAAATCATTTGTAAGCTGTGGTAAAACTCGTGACAAGATTTGTTGAAGTTGATTTTGTCTGATAGATGATAATGAGGATAAATTCTCCAAAAGTGACATGTCAATGGCATGTGAATTTTGTAGAAGGAAAGCTCATGCTGTTGTGAAGGCCTCCTCTCGTGTGGATAAATTCTCGAAAAGCGATGTCATTGTTTCTCCGTCAATTCTTTCAGCCAATTTCTCCAAATTGGGCGAGCAGGTAAGTTGATTACTTGAGTTTTCCTTTTCCACTATCTTCTTTTTTCCTTCCTTAGAGTTGTGTTGCTTCTTTGCTGCTTTTGCATTCTGCCAGATTAAGGCAGTAGAGTTGGCAGGATGTGATTGGATTCATGTTGATGTAATGGATGGCCGTTTTGTTCCCAACATCACCATTGGACCTCTGGTGGTTGATGCTCTACGCCCTGTGACTGATCTGCCTTTGGATGTTCATCTCGTAAGCTCGGTTCCCCCCCCTCTCTCTCTCTCATGGTTGTTGTTGTTTTCACGTCTTAACTAAATAAGAGTTTCCATTTTAGATGATTGTGGAACCTGAACAGAGAGTACCCGATTTCATCAAGGCCGGTGCTGACATAGTCAGTGTACATTGTGAGCAGTCATCGACCATCCATTTGCATCGTACCGTCAATCAAGTAAGAATTTTCAACCTCAGATCCCTTCCTTATTCTGATTCTTCCAATTTAATCTTCCCTTTTACCAATCTATCTTACTCTGACTGCATTGTAGATAAAAAGCTTGGGGGCCAAAGCTGGCGTTGTGCTAAACCCTGCAACCCCATTGAGTGCCATAGAATATGTGTTGGATGGTGGGTTTTTCATTTTTCCCTTCACGGTTCCTTTTTTTTTCTCTTTGTTGCTTCGTGTTTCTCTGCGTGTGCAACTGTCCATCCCGAATGGTTGCCAACCAAAATGGATCTGATGGGATTATCGTTTATTTCTGTTTGTTAGTGGTTGATCTGGTCTTGATAATGTCTGTCAACCCGGGGTTTGGTGGCCAGAGCTTTATCGAAAGCCAAGTAAAGAAAATCTCGGACTTGAGAAGAATGTGTGTGGAGAAGGTATCTGTCATCTACTTGCTTCCCTTTCCATGGTTTTGTAGCTCCAAGGTTGGAGCTTTATATCCATCTATTAGTTTATATAAGGAGCCTCCTCTCATTTTCTGAAACATGGTCTCATGGATGGTTATGGTAGGGAGTAAACCCATGGATCGAAGTTGACGGTGGTGTAGGTCCAAAGAACGCGTACAAGGTGAAGTTCAACACCTCATCGTGCTCTGATTAGTCTTATTCCCTCGAGATTTGTTTTGGGTATGAACCTTGTGCTGTTCTAATAGGTTATCGAGGCTGGAGCCAATGCTTTGGTTGCTGGATCAGCTGTGTTTGGAGCCAAAGACTACGCAGAAGGTATACCCCCGGAATCATCACAGAATTTCCAAGTGAAGTTGATATGGGAATGCACCACTTCTCTTTTGGTGGGTGATATTCTGATGATGATATTTATTTTTTCCTAATCTGCAGCTATAAAAGGAATCAAAACCAGCAAGAGGCCGGAAGCAGTGGCTGTGTGATGTGATGTGCGGGCAAGCTAGACTCCGCTAATCCCGAGTTTATGATACTCAGCACCTGAATCCAATGTAAGACTCTTGGAATGAAAATAGTAACTTTTTTAGATGGGGTTCGGCGTCTGATATGTTTCCTTTAATCTCTAATTTGCATGGATTGCCTGAAATTGCAGGGACAGTTAAAAGGCAAAGAAGATTTGCCTGATGTTGTTGTTGTTGTTGCCATTCGCAGGTTTCCATCATATATATTCCGAGGATGTAATAAAGAGGCTGTAAGAATGAAAGCCGGAAGCTGCAGAGTAAACATTTATACCCTTTTGTACGGACTGGGGAAATGCCAGATTGTACAGAAAACATGAACTATTTGTTTGCTCTCTTCATGAAAGGACTGCTTTAGTAGCTGATTCATGTTCATAGTTCCTAATAAATGCATGATCCGTTCTTCAGCGTCATGCATTGGTTTCTCTTCCTAAGCAGAAGTGGCAGGGTTTCACCACCAGGAGGATAAGAACAAAACTCGTGTGGATCGTTCATGTTGCATCACCATGTCATCTGTCCGGACAATGTAATAGAATTGGGACCTCAAGAGAAGAAAACAAAAAAGAAAAGAACGAAGCTTTAGAACATGAACACAGTGGAGTATTATCTCTTTCTTCTCTTTCCATGGCAATGATCATACATGTTTAGACAAAGCTAAGGCAATGAAGATAATGCCAATTTCCATTCGGGACATATGATACAAGAAATGAGGTAAAAATAGGCAGATTCTGGTATTAGTGGAAAGCTTTGCTGTTCAAGCTCTTACCTTCTCCTTCGAGAAGAGATTTGAAGCTTTCAGGAAACTCAGAGCGAAAGCCTCAACCATACATAACCCTGAACACTACAGATATGAAACTGGAACACATGAACCAATCTGGTCCCGGGCCATGTCACACCATCGAGCCAGATCTATGTGAGGACCAGACCACAGGATTTCTGGATGGTTCGTTCAGTGCCCAAGCTTGAACAAAGATAGCACACATTTCTGACAGGAGCATCATTCCTTCTTTACTGAAGCATGATGTTTAAGTTTCCAAGGGCTTGTCCTGGGGAGATAAATCTCGACCCTCCTCTTCTTCCTCGTCCTCATCCTCATCATCATACTCGGCAGAGGCAGGCTGCCCGTTAAGATCAACATTCACCCCATTCACTTTCCTTACAAACTGACCCCTTACACGCGGTCTCCTCTCGGCAAGACGTTTCCTATTCACATATCGAATCTTCTTATCAAAGCACCGTTGATTCCTTTTCCGCCTGAATTTGATTAGTGCTTCTTCTCTTCTGTCAACTTTATTCAGCTTCACCTCGTTCGAAGACACATTTCCTTCTGTTGGCCAGGGGTGATGAACCACAGGCATCTGCCCATGCTGTAATGACATCTGACCGTGCTGTAATGACACGCCCATTGGGTGGTAATAAGGGAATCTACTCATTCCATTCGGATGATTGGGAGGGCAATGCAGTGGAAGTTGATGACCATATTGAGCCTGCATTCCTGATGAGGCATGAACATGATGGGCAGCTGGTTGCATCATAGCATGGTTCACGACCCCATGCATATAATATGGATAATGGGTTTGTCCGGAGAAACCAGAAACACCGTCTTGAGATGATTCCTTACCTGTTTCCATTGGACCTCGAGATGCATTCCTTTTTCCTTCTCCGTAACTCCTGTTGCGGAACTCCATCGACATGGGAGGCGTGCAAGAGCGCTCCAGGGAATCCAGAAAGCTGGTGCCACTGTGAAAGTCATCTCCTTGTGAATAGTTTTCTTGAGTCTCTCTACTGCTGCATGTTTGATTGGTGTTTGTAGTACTTTCATCGGCAGCTCGTAGCTTCTTCTCTTCTACACAATGATGGTTTGAGCCATACTCATTGACTTGGGAACAATCCTGGCAGTTAGCTTTCAAGACAGTGGACTTGACATATGTGAAGAAAGCAGAAGACTCGCCAATCTTCAATTTACTTTTCTTCGGACCAAAAGAAAATTGTCCTGCAAGACCCTTGCCAGATTAAAATTCACCAGAAGAGAACCCAGATATTTTTACACAGATAACAATTATGAGAACCCTTGTTATGGTACGAAACGATAAAGAAACCTTGTGTATCCCTAAACAAGAAATCAGAATATATGGGAATAACACAAAACAAAATGTCACAATGCGACTGTCGATGGAGCTACCCGCTGAAATGCAAAGTCATACACGATCTAATAACTTCTGATTGCGAGATGAAATATGATATGCTAAAAAAGGCAAGCAATCACCTTCATTGGTATCTCTTTCCGCTGGCTCATAGGGGTGAGACCCAGCCGGATGAGTAGATGGAGGCTCCATAGCTGCAACAGCGGGAGGAGAAGTGACTGTTCCATCAGCAGCACCACAGCCATCACCAGCATGATCACTAGCAGAGATAGCAGCAATAGAGCACTGCCAGTATAAAGCACGAATACAAACAAAAATATCAATTAATTCAATTTCTACAGATGTCAAAGGAGATGTCACACCTTCAAAACACAACAAAAAAGAGAGATTTTAAACTTCAAGAATTTCATCACCTCATTTTCCGGATTCTTCGAAGTTAAAGTCTGCAGATTGGTGCACCTAAGACTCTTGTCATCTGTGTCGTCAGAGAACAGGTTTGTACTATTTGTGTTTGCATCACTTGGATCAGATCCCACAAGATCGAAATCATAGCTCAAGATATTCTTCTCAGAGAGTCCAAGCTGCCAAAAGAAACATATAACACGATAAATACAATAGAACATATTACTAGACACGAATGCATTGATGTTCTTCCCCTTTCTGGCAGACAATTACACCATATTGAGAATAGCATAAAGTGGCATAAATGGCTGTGTCTTTTCCCCTCTAACAGGGCTTACACAAAACTTATCTAGACCTTTAATTGTCAAAAGAATAAACATTGTGTAATGCTTAGCAATTATTGTGTACAAATAACTCTGAGAAACATATAAGGCAGACACGGATGACTTCCATTAATGCTGCTATGATGGAAGGCACATCAAACTGTAAACTCCAGAGGAAGAGTCGGGTCAAATAAAACAAACCATGCGTCTTCTTCTCCACATGTGTGTCCACAAGTTCAGAAGCTCATTGGTTCGAAGAGGCTTCACAAGGTAGTCTGCTGCCCCTAGCTTTAAGCACTTGACCACAACAGAAACCTTGTCTTGCCTCGACATCACTTGGATTGAGAAGATTATTAGATCAATCAGTATAAAGCAAATGATCATGCTGTCCATAAACACTCTTCAGGAGAAAAGAAAGAACACTCCTAAAATTTAACAAACAGGATATTCAAACAGAGAGAGAAAAGACACAGAAGTTGGCAACATACTGATCACAGGAATCCTGCGAAGATCTTTGTCCCGTGTAATGTACTTCAACATCTTCATACCCTTGGACATTGGAAGATCGACTTCGGCCAGTATTATATCGATATCAGCCCTCTCAGCATTGAGAGCATCAATCACTTGCCTGGCTGACCTCACTGAAGTGACTGCATTGTAATTTGTAACACAACACAAATAGGGTCACTTTCAACACTTACACTTGAATGAAAAAAAGGCAGTAAAATCTAGACATGCCCATAATACTCTGAATTTTATCTCACTTCAGCAAATGGGAGTGTGGAGAAGAGATAGGGAAATAATTAAGGAATCCAGCTAGAGACCATTCTTTATCACATCATCACCATGAAACCAATCGATGCACAGGCATTAGTGGCACGAGAACTTGACAAAAAATAAATAAATAAAAGAACCCAAAACCCAACACCCTCAATCCCTTCCCTTTCATTTCTGCAGACAAATTCCCAGGAAAAGGCCATTGCTCAAATAAGTAAGCAAACCGTTCTTAGAGTAAAAACACACATCAAATACGATCACTAAACCAGTAACAAAAAAACAACAACGAAGAACAAAATCCACGGACAAAACACAGTAGCGAATCACAGGACCTTCATTAACTAGATCTAACAGTAGTTCCAACATGAACATAAGAAAATCAGCCAAAGAACAATGATACACACCAAAAACAGAGGAGAACGAATCAGTTCCAAATCATACCCTGATAAGAACATTCAGTGAGGAGAGTGAAACCCTCTTTCAAGCTCTTCGAATCGTTGTCGCAAAGCAGAATCCTGACTTTGCTCCTATCGATGAACCCATCCCCACCGTTGCACTCGCTATTCAAATCCATCACCAAAATTCCAGAAAAACCCAGAAATCCCCCACCCCCCAATAATCTAATCACATAAATCGATCTCCCCGATCAAAAAAATACAAATCGTAGCACGTGAACCGCAAATTAGTAAGTACTAGCGCACTTCCATGGCGAATCAGAACACAAATCAGAGCTAGGGTTTCGATACTATCCGGATCGCTACAAATTTACTCAATTTGACAAACGATACACTGATTCTCCTCATCGCCCCACCTTATCCTCTAGCCATGAGACGGCACAGTAAAATCTAAGAACGAACAAACGAAGAAAAAAAAGGAAATACAAAAAGTGAACTTTTTTTCGGGATGCGGAAGTCGGAGAATATTAGCCAGAGAAGCCGAAAGCGACAGAAGAATCTCCGTAGTTGCTGCGAAGGATAGACAACGTCGGCGGCGAGAGGAGGAGGAATTCCGACAAGAGGATTGAGAAAATTCAAGAGAGGGACTTTTGGCTCTCTCGCTCTCTCCCCGTTGCCATTTTTTTAGAAGCGACATGAGACCGGATAAATCAGAGCCGTTGATGTGGGACGAAACGGACGGTGGAGATACGGGTTTCTTTAGAAGCGCGTAGTGCGCATAGAGGAACATGTTAGGGAAGAGGATGACGTGGAAGGTACTGAATGGAAAAAGTGCAGAGGAAAGAGGAAAAGCGTGGATAGTTGGGTAGAGATAGAGAGAAGGCCACGTCATGCGGAAAAATATCTATGAAATTTAAATGGTGGACATAAAGATAAGATGTGTCTAAAACAGGAAAACAAAAAATCAAAAAACATAAATGTATAAAATATCTAGTGGTGGATAAAGATAAGATGTATCTAAAATAGAAAAACAAAAAATCAAAAACATAAATGTATAAATATCTAGTGGCTGACCAATTTTAGACCCCACCAAATATCTAACAAATACATTATATTATAAGTTTTTTAAAATATTCACCGAATATAAAGGCGAATTCAACTGATTTTGGTCTTTTTATAAAATTTTGAAATGTGATGATTTTATGATTTTTATTTTTTTTTGGGAATAGAATGATGATCTTTTTTTAGATCCGGTTAAACATGATGATTGTATAATATTATTTTTGTATGGATGTGATGGATAAATGTAGTGCTCTTTTTAATTTGACTTTGGGTTAAAGGCCACGAATATGGGATATGCCAATATAAATGAGCGAGATTATTATAGACATACAAATCATGTGTACCATAATTAATTAAAATATCATAAATGTATGCGTGTACGTAGATTACAAATTAATAAAATTAAGTTACTTTCAATCAGTTAATAAAAATGTTTATGTAATATTTCATTTAATTAAAATAACTTTAACTATATAAATCCACATAAACCCATGTCCTCACGTCCACTCAAAATATTTTAGGGTCTATAATCCAAATCAGATCCCTTTTGTTCATTAAGGGTGATTTCTATTTTTATTTTTTTTAAACCTAAAAAAAAGTTATGGATCATCATAATGCACAGAAGAAGTTGAGGGAAATAAACCCTTTTCAAGCCTTGTTCTTCAGGAGTTTGTGAGATGGCTTGCTGTTGTCGTGCTGAAGAGAGATGACGGACTCAAAAGCACCGACAAGGGCTTTGACTTTGCTCTTCCTCACCTCCACCAGCTTACTTGCTGTCTCCTCTATCACATTGTTGAACAATGTCTCCAGTTTCTTCTTCCCCTCCACACTTCTGTGCCTCAAAACCACCTTCTCAGCTTTGCCTGATCCTGCAGGGTTGCCCTCTTGTCTCTCTCTCTGGCCCTTTCTCCTCCTCGGTTTGGAATCCTCGTCGGGTTTGGGTTCGAGAACAGCCTTCCCTCTCTTTATCCCCATCTTCTTAGCCTTATCCTTCATGTTTTCGGGTTTTTCATCGGCCGGAACGCTTCCTTTTCTCTTATGCAAGCTGGTCATTGCCCTGGAAGCCATTCTCCTTACCCGGTATTTCGATTTCCTAGGCTTTTTTGAACCTTCGTCTTCCCCCGAGGAAGGTGATACTTCTTTAGGAACTTTCCCAGTGTTCTTCTCTGTGGTGGTGGCTCTTGAGATTTTCTTTCCTGAGGCTTGATGGATCTTGCCCTGATCATCCCCTTCAATGCCGCATCTCTTCTCAACACTGGATTCAACAACGTACAGTGTCTTCTCCGGTACGTCTTCCTTATGACCCTTTTTCACATTCTTCTTCAAAGAAGAAACCGCTTTGTCGTCTTTCGAAACCTTCTCGGCAGTAATCTTTGTTTTTTTCTCAGCGACCTTTCTTACAACAGCCGAATCACCCGGAGTATTCTCAGTTTCCTTGTTCTTCCCTGTCCGACCATCACCCGATGATCTCACAGCGTCAGTAGACGCGTCTGATTTCGAAGAAATGGACGATTTTCCCACAACCACGGGCGAGCAGGTCTCGGGATTTTTGGGTCTGAAACCCGAGTTCTGTGGACAAACACCGCCCAACGACTTCCTTCTCACACAGGAAGCATCAATCTTTCCCGTATCTTCGCCTCCAACACTCTTTCTCCTCGCCGATTTCCATGGCTTCACCGCCACTTCTTCTCCATCTTCGTCTTCACGTCTCTTTCCATGTTTACAGATATCATGAGTTGAACTGACATGATCTCTAAGATACCTAGACTGAACCTTTGCTTTGCCTGGTTTCGTCGTACCTATCACCCCAGTCGAATGCCGCCTCAAATTCACAGGGTCACCTCCCCCGCCACTTCTTCTCCATCTTCGTCTTCACGTCTCTTTCCATGTTTACAGATATCATGAGTTGAACTGACATGATCTCTAAGATACCTAGACTGAACCTTTGCTTTGCCTGGTTTCGTCGTACCTATCACCCCAGTCGAATGCCGCCTCAAATTCACAGGGTCAAGTTCAGTCAATTCATGAATTTCTGGTATAACTCCTTGACCCTCAGGCGTTTGACGAGGACGTATCATTTTGGAGCAGCCTTCTCCAGACGCCATCGTATCTTTTGCATCAAAATCATTCTCCTCCGCCATTTCTAACCGCCAGAAGAAGCTGCAAAACCCGCAATCACTGAAGTATTATTAACTTGGCATGTAAGCAACCCAATCAACTTGTTCCGGCACACATTTGGTATCAGAAACAATGGTTAGATTTGGGAAGATGTATCAGATGTTCTGAGATTTTGTGTTCAGAGTCCAGACATTCCAGTTCCCTTGTTCTCGAAGCAAGCAACAGTACATGTAATAACACATGACATGGTGTAAGATGTCAGCCTATCCCCCCCCCCAAAAAAAAAAAAACCAGACAAAAAACCACAGAACAACGAGAGAGGAATTGATCAGTCCATCGAAATCTGCTTCTTCAATCCATTTGCACTTTCTGATCAGATCGAAAACGAATCCACCAAAGATGAACCAAATACCATCTATTTCAACATCAATCAACGACAGATGAATAAATGAAGAATTCACTGTAGGAATATAATATATATATATATATATCGTTTTCTCCATAGGAACTCAACTAGTTTGAAGTCGACAATCACTGTCAAATTACGTATTTTTTGGGGTCAATCATCTGTCACATCAATACCCATCTAACAAAGTCAAATTTTGATCATGACCCAATTATGAAAGCAACCTTTTCTATCCCAAAAACAATAAAACAGAACTCGATTTCGTTTCCAGTCCTTCAATCACTATCTAGATTACGTCTTGAATCCCAGGAAACTACACTACCGTCTCGACTATGATGAACTAAGAAGACATGGAAATACAACAACAAAAGGAAGAAGAAGAAAAAGCTTACGAAAAATGAAATCGGGAATCAGAAAGATCGTACCGCTTTTATCAATTCCTGAAAATTCTATCACCGAATTTTTCTCAGGGGAGATAACAGGTGAAGAACGAGGGATCAATGAAGCCTGAAAAAGGGGGCAGAATATTTATCTGATTAATGAGTCATCCAACAATTCGAAGAAAAGGATAAAGATCGATTTAGATTCGCTCTACTTTGAAAGCAAAATCAAAGGGATAAAAAGCAAAGAGAAAATTGTTTCCAAGGAAGAGAAGAAAATCTCCTGTCATGGAATGTACGTTGGGCAGAAGCAGAAACTTCCAGAGAGGCTTCCATTAATTTTAATTTCTCTGTTTTATTTGGACAATATATTTCGATTTAACCAGTAATATATGTATATATTTAGAGATTTAATATTTGATATAAAAAGATCATAACTTTGTGCTTCTATTAAATGAATCTTTCATATAAAAACTGATTTTCATTTTTAATGGTTTAGAGAGGGGATATTATAACATAGGTAATTGTCGGGAAATTAAGTAAGAAATAGGTGATTAATTATCAGTCTAATTTTACTTTTGAAAAGAATTTGAAAATTTATGACCAATTAAAGAACAGTATCACACCTTATATCTAACTCCAAGGGTATGAAACCTTAAATAAATGTAGAATTCAATTAGGGTGATATTATAAAAAAATGATAAAAATTAAAGAAATAAAAAAAACATAAAACCCGACAACAATAGATAAATGCATCATTTTTTTTGTTACCGGCCATCATCGACCAATGTTGAGACTAATCACGAGATCGAGAATTAGTTATATGATTTGAATTATACGACATCTCCCTAAATTTGACGTTCGAAATTGAGATCGATAATAAGTTATATGATTTGAATTATACGACCTCTCTTAATTTGAAATCGAGATGGAATAAATGTTTTACATCTTCACTTCACTTATTGAACTACTCAAATTTAGATAAATAGATTATTATTGTATAATAGCTTTACATGATAAATGAATCTATTTCATTTGGTATTTTTGTGAAGAATGAATTTTGAGTTATAATATATATATATAGATAAATAGATTATTATATATATATATATATATATATATATATAACGAAAGAAAAATATGATATATGTATAGCACATTAGATAGTGCTCAGCTCTACTCCAACAATGATTTTTTGCTATGCGTTTAGTTTGGACATTTTCTTCCATATACGATTATTCCCGAACTTTATAATATAAATTAGGGTTCTTATCTCTATCTAAACTTTATTAGTACAGTTTTATAACTGCGTCACCATTTACCAAAAAATAATTGTATGCCTATGCTTAACGAATTATTAGGAATAAAGATTCCATCGACATGAATACTGTTTTTTCCCTATGGAAACACCTCTTCTGTATGAATCATGTAAAGTCTCTATCTAAGGCCCACTTGAAACACATACATATACATATACATATATATACGCATAAACATACATACATACACACATATACATATGTGCATGTATATATATATATATATATATATATATATATATATGCATAGCATGCACGCATTTATATGAGAGTATATATGTATGTATTGGTATATTTATTTATTAGTTTTTATATATTTATATATGTATTATTTGATTTTATAGGTAGAAAGTAAAGATGCACGTCGCTTACATTCTTCCACGAGCAAACATGCCGCTTTATACCTTAATTCCGCCATTTCTTGTGCAAGTTCCTCGTCTGTCATTCTTTCCGACATTTGTCTCATTGGCGAACAAATATCCGATTTTCAAACACTCAATTCAACCCCCAAAAACGATTTTTTTCTTTTCTAGCCTATTAGCAACATTATAGTCAAACGACCCAAGTTTGGATGTAGGACAAACGGGTAAAAAAGAGAACAAATCTCCTTTCCAACTAAGCTTCGAAATTTCGAATTCCCATTTAGGACCAAAAGTACGGTGAAGTTGCAAATTATCAGGAAAAAAAAACATCGTAGTCAAATCCCATCCAACATTGTTGTGATGGTACTTGTATCATTCAGTTTTCTTGCACACTTATCAAAAGAAAAGACAAACTTTAGTAACCAAATTTCATCTTTACAACACCCCAAAACAAAAACCAAAAAAAAAAAAAAAAAAAATTCACGCCTGGGTTTGAATAAGGGGGCGAGTTTTAGTTATGAAACCCTCTTTGTATCGCTATTCATCATAACAAAGCAAACCACCAAATACACATAAATAAGACCCACCCACCGGGTTTTCATCTTCCAACCACGTTTCTTATGTTACACACGCAGGGAGGAAGACCGCATAAATTTAACAGAGACAAACACTGACCAGGTTTTATGTCAAACGGAGTGCCATTTCTTGGAGAAGAGCTCGTTTCTGGGAAGCGTTTATCACTTGATTCGTCTCCGCATCCTCCAATACGTCTGTTATTATGGCTGCTGCGTGCCCGAGCGGCTCCTCCGCTGCCCTCTTTAGCATGAACGCCTGTAATTACGCAACACCAGGATTATGGTAAACCAAAGATGAAGATCCATTTGTTTAGGTGTAAACGTGCATGAGAGCGAGGAAGCGAAAGAACCTGGCCATGATGCGTTATGACTAGTGTGCAAGGCTGCTGAAACCAAGGTTCCCCATCGATTTGAACCGGCAACGGAGCACACAGCTGTATCTTGACTAATTGCCCCTGAGCCAGCCTTCTTGCTCGAGATAACCCTACCTGTCGAGGTGGCAGACAGTTGGACGTTATTTTCAGGTAATCCTCGGAACGTAATGTAACAGATCCCTGGATCCATCACGACAGGATTACCTGGAGCTTTCCAAGATGCCACGTTCCGGATATACTCACGACCTCTACTATCTTATCATGCATAGACTGCGGGTCAAAGTTGTCATATGTTTCATCTTCGTTCTGCCATAAGTCTACCCCACCCATGTAGCTTCCTATGTTTGCCACTAGTACTCCTTCTGCATCCTTCGGAAATTACCACTCAGACGTTACAACATGTTTCATATAGTCCTCTATAACCAAAGGGAAACTCCAATTCCCACACAGGGATTATGTAAATTACTTTCTGAACTTACCTCAGGAACCTCAATTTCAACACCGTCCACCTCAACCCGTACCTGCCACGGGAAATCTTCAAATGTCCTGTCCATTATACTTTTCGCACCTTCCCTAGCATAGAGAACTTTGTTCATAAACTGCACAGAGTAACGTACAAATGATAGTTTACGCATCTTTTCGGACTTGGAAACAACACAGGTGCTAATGCGGCCAACACTAATAAACCCTTAAAACAAAAGTTAGCACTGCACTCGTTGTGAATTATTTGAAATTTCCTAAACTATGATTTTATGAGGTTACCTGGCTATAAAATCTCTCAGGATTCTCCTCCCGTAGGTTGTGGATATCCAGGGCTACCTTAGCATCACACCCAACCCCTATGGAGTTATTGCAAGGTTAGATGGTGTATATTTTTATAAGGTCATGGGCTTCACAACAGCTGTGAAATCAATTTCAAAAACCTAAGATGCAATGAGAAGTATCTACCAACATGCCACTGATCCAAACAAAAAGTGCCTCGTTCCTCACATATGAAACTATTTGAATGATCAAGAAAATATAAGAGAAACACCACACAAAATGCTGAGGTGGGCCAATCCTCACGCAAACATATGTTCTGAAAGTAAAAGACTAAATTATTCAGGTCTCAAATGCAAAGAACTATTCCGGCCACAAATTAATTCATTCCAGAAGTAGGTTAGTACTTAGTATAACAGCTACAAGAAAAGAAAAGAATCTGCACTGCAACTGCAAGGTAGCAGATTTCTAACCCAACAGCTACTGAATTAAAATGGAAGTAAAACTCTGATGGTCTCCACCTACACGTATGGAATTAGACTGACCTATATAGTTGTTCATATATTTTGGTGGCTGAAGTTGTTTTCCTTGTTGATTTAGAATTGATACTTTCCAACGATCAAGGACAGTGACTGCAGCATGCTCTATTTGCTGTAACACAGTACATAGGCCTCCTTGTCTCTCCACCGATCCTAAGCCACCGCCCCAGTTAAGTACTCTGGCTAGATCGTTACCCGTTCCAGCAGGAAGAATAGCAACCGGAGGAGGAGAGACAAAATTCTGCTTGTCAATTGCATTCAGTACCCAACCAACAGTGCCATCTCCACCGCATACAAGAACTCTAAAATGGGGAACTTTCCTGAAGAGGAAAAGTCCCACTTCTGGTCCCTGCACTGAACTCAATTCAACTACCTGCACGAAATTGCCCCATCATCGAGGAGACTATGGCAAGTGAAGATCACATTGGAAAGAAAAGAGACAAAAACCTATGATGAGTGTCACAGGAGCATACTCTACCTGTACTGGGTTCAGTAGAAGGTTAAGGCGTTGGCGAAGGGAATCACCATGTTGAGCACCACTCTTTTTGTTGATGAAAACCAACAATGGCCTTGCATCTGGAGGCAATTCAGCCAACTCATACTTCAATTTTGATCTTAGTGCCTGATATTCTTCCTTCTGACTGAGAGATCCACTCTTAAAACTTGGCCTTGATTCCAGCTTGCTATTACTGTCACTGTCCGCATGAGAGGAACCACCATTCATATGACTGTTACAATTTTCTTGCATGGCCATGGCATGCATACCATTTTCAGCTAGATTTCCATCAGCTGTGCTTTCCGTTGATGGGTCGGAAATGCTACCATTGTTAATTGTGTCAACTGAAGGTTCATTAGCATGCTTGTACTTTTTGCTTTGACTCCTGATACTTGCTCGAACTGAAGAAGCTAATTCATTTGCTCCATGAGTGATTGAGCTCAGAAAGCCACCAGAAGGGCCTCGTGTCAATTCCTTCACAAAGAGAGGGGATAGAATTAACCTTCTAAGTGGGCCTAAATCACAAACATCACCAGTTTCATTTGACATATTGCTATGACAGTCAACGTGTACAAGCCGTTGACACCACAAGCAGCACCATATGGGGGAGCCCCCCAGAAAGGAGCTACTACATGGCTCTTCACAGTAGCTACAAAATGAGGACTCATCAAGTTGGTCAGCACCTTCTGTCCACCGCATTGCCCATTGGTGCATCACATGCTCATATCCAATCATGGACACGCATTTACAATCTTTATGAGCACTTGAAGAACAACTTAAGTGGGCAGCAGCACCGCATATGGTGCACTTGTGAATAAAACTTTCTGAAGCCACAATCGTTTGAGATGGTGACATAGACTTCAAGCATACACAGCAATTCAAGTTCTTCCCACGAGACATAGAGTCTAGTTCCCAACTATGCGGGGCGATAGGAGTTTTATGCCGGGCCTTAGGATTTTTCTTTGACCTCGCAATGGCTTTCGTCCAACTTAAATTGATATTTCTTCGCCATTGAAAAGCTGTATAGGCTATGGTCAAAATACCAACAAGAGCGGCAATGAAGCAAGAGAACATTATGCCATGAGACTCGGTCAATTCAGTCGGACTCAAGCCGTTCCAAATAGGAAATAACATCCCCATCTCTCTATCGTCATCCATTTTGCTATTTTGCAAATCTAAACATGCGGCAGACCTCAATGTTCAAGGCTCAAGTCATCAAACATGGTTGTTCCGGTCGTACCCGTATCATCCCCCAAATCGTAGAATGACCCCCTGAAGAAGCTATCATAAGTTCTCTATGGTATTCATTGCTCCGCCACTTCAAACTCTGCCAATACAAACTCTTCTGTATCACAGGAAAAGTGCCTGCACACGGCCAAAGTTAAAACAAACAATCAGCATAAGCTCTTTGGAGTGCATACACTAGTGACAGGAAGAAGAAGAAGAAATATTCGAATGCGATGCTCTGAGTTCCAGCTATAACAGAACATTCCGCAATACTGAGAACCCGTAAAAACACTTCCCACTCGGCTGGCTCACACTCTTATCTCGATCAAGTTTGGGTAACACCTTCCCAAAATCGGCATGGACTCGTTTCCTCAAGCGAAATATCCAATTGGCTCTTCGTTACGCACAAATAAGAAACAAAGGCATCCGAACTCGATCTTAATCGCAACAAAACATCGATCGCACTCATAGAGTATCTTCCACGAAACACACCAATTTAATTACAATTTCCGCAATCGTTCGCAGAAAAGTTATTCGGCTAACAAACATAGACCGGAGCTATGAAACGGAAGCAAAATCATACCTCCAGCGGCGACAGAGGGAGAAACCCTAGAGATCAAGCGAGCGAAAGAGAGAGAATCGCAGAACAAAGATCGAGAAGTAAGGCCACTAATACCATCAACAACGCATGAAGCAAGAAGGTTTTTCCGTCGTCGAAATTCGAAATCGATAAAAAAGAAACTATTTGCTTGAGAAAGAGAAAGTTGGAATTTTTTTTTTATATTTGTTTTGATTTATTCGCTCGGAAATTTTCCTCCCAAAGCAGAAAAAAAGGATTAAAAAATTAAAAGGGAAGATTCTAAATGAAAAGGAAGGTTGCATCGTCTAGAAAGAACCGTGGGCCACGTAGACAAAGCGAATCTCGCACAGTGTACCTCCACGTGGCCAAATTAATATAACACGATATTTTTATTTCGTATAGTCTAGTTTCCCTAGTTACTGATGATTTCTACGAAATAGATTGGACAAGAACAGATGGTGAATACAGAAAAAAAATACTCCCGAATGCTATACACAAATTAAGAAAAATATTGTTTTAACCAAAATACCCTTATTTATTACATAGATAATTATTATTTCTAAACATACAAAATATTTAAATATTATTAATTAAGAGTAAATTTAGAAAAAATATTAAAAAGTACATTAAAAAACGAAAAACGTCATTTATTTTGAAACAAAAAAAAATTGTTCTAAAATGCCATCCAGAGGGAGTATCTTTCAAGATAGGATCCGTGAAAAAAAAAGTTAAGTGATTTTCAAAATCAGGCAAAAATTAATCAATTACATGACATCTTTGTGAGCAAAAAACAGGCCGCAATTTTATGTCGCCCGGTTGCGTACCCTAATCTCCAAATAAATACCACCCAACAGTACCCTCAACCTCCTTCCCAATCGCAACCGCCAACTGCAATCAAAGACAACGCATGAAATGAATTGATCACATGGTGAAATAAACAAAAACAAATAGATGATATATAATCAAGATGATACACATGAAATATGGAGAAGGGGTGCAAAAAGAGAAGAATTGAAATCTTCTACCACGGGGTACTGTGGGGTTCATTCCAAGCTAATCTTAAAGACGAAACCTTGAAACCTTTAAACTCCGAGTGGGCAATTGCCAATTAATCTGTGTTTGTAACTCAGAGTGTGACGGCAATCCTTCTCTGCCCATTTGAAGTGATTCTCCTACCACTGGTTTACATCAGATGTGTGACCAATGAGTAAATGAATCAAAATTCAATCATGAAACTGCGACCAATGAGGCGTGTGTTTATGTGTCGCACAAGGTTATCCGAAATAACACAGAGAAACTACTCACCCCTTGGCGTCAAGATCTATGATCTGCATCCTCTGCAATTGCGGAAGAATATGACGGGCAATAGCGCAACTGCTCTTGCCAAAAAAGTGGGGTGGCTTCCGTTCCTCTCGCTCCTCTGTAGATCCTACGGAGAGCTCCGACACCGAGAACCGCCCCTCAGGTAGATTTTCCTTGCCATGGAAGCTAAACAATGGAAGAGAATTTATCTCAGAAAGATGGACTCAAACCTCACAGTTACTTGCACGAATTATTCAGGAATCAGGCGTGATGGGCAGCTTGACTAATCACGAGTTATGCATACCGGCTCTGATGTAGTACCAGTCTGGATCATAAGGAGCAAGCTCCTTCAGGGTCCCAGTCTTGACAATATCTGCTTCAGATCATTCTCCAGGTTCCTCATGTTAACCAGCGATTGAGCACAGAATATAATGGCAAGCCATGAGCAAAGCTTGTACTGTTATGAAACAAAAAAAAAACATAAAATGACTGAGGAAATACTCAGTGGACAATTCACAAATGATCTCCAAATATCATCCCCAGGATAATTAGTATCAAATATTTTAAAGTGAAGAGTACACATTCAAAGTAACCATCCCTAAGGATCTCAAGCTCAAAACTTTAGCTAGAGCTAATTGATCCAAGCGGAATATAATATGATAAAGTCGCCTTTCTTACTGTAAAAAAAGCTCAGTTTAACTAGAACTGAGTAGGCTAATTGCGAAAGTAATTAGATATTATGAATTCAACAAATTCATATTACCTATTGCACAAACCAAACGTAATCCTCCTGGTAAAATTCAGAAACGTCTTAAACCAAATGCCGGAAAATCAATGCAGAAAAACTTAGCATTGTGGCCGAAAATCAACTAAAGAATCGCACAAATCAAACGCATTGACTAATTCATAAGCAACCGACGATTCAAAGTGAGAAAATCCGTCTCAGTGATCGAATCATAAATTCTAATGAATCAAAATCAGCAAACCCGTCTCACCAATTGAATCACCGACATCCAACTACTCGAGATCAGCAAGCCATATCAGCTTCAAATTCCCTCTCCCATTAACCAATCAAGAGGAAGAGTTACAAGACAACGGTGAAGAAAGAGATCGAGGATTATGTCTTATACCCTGAACATGACGCCGGAGACGTCGAGGATGACGGCGATGAAACCGGAGTAATCAACGGGAAGATCCTGGGGAGGAACTGGCGCCGGTGAGTACGCCTTTGCCGTTGACGGTTGTCGCGGATCGTTCGCCGACGAAGCGATGCCGTGACTGTGAGACATCTCCGATGAAAAGCAATCTACCCTCTGTCACTCTGTTTGGAGATGAATAAAATCGCAAGCTGTTATTAGAGTGGGCCCCGAAATTTCCCAGAAATAATATTTTCGCCCCAAACCTGCTTCTTATAACAAATGTTATCTTAAACTTCAAATTGACGCTGCACACCCCTGTGACCAAGTTATGTTCTACTAAAACGTTTCACTGCTTTGAAATCATATATAAACATTAGAAAAATTTAGAGAAAGGGAGAGTATGAAGAATGGATATCAATCATGTGACCAAGTCATATTCTTTACAATACTAAAGTTCAAACCCAATACACGTTCGAGTCTCGCATTGTTCACTTGGATTTGGATTTTTTCGATGATGGATATAGTTGAATAAAAAAATACTGAAGTTCAAGAGAAAGATTTTGTGGTGAGAAATAGATACTTTAAAGATTTGGAAAAAAAAAGTAAATAATAGATTTAGATTTGTATCTCGGTTTCATCGGAAAGATTCTTTTCTTATATAGAATTTTGCAAAACGAATCATTACAGATAATTTTTCTAAATTTTGAATCATAGTTCCATTTTCTAGTCTGCAGAAAATATATGTCAATTTTTACCTCGTGAACTCACTCTCTACTCTCAGTTCAAATCGACGACGAATAAGATAGTGGAAATATGGAAATAGTACGTTTTGATATTAAATTCAATTCGATTCAATTTTATTTCAATTCAGATTTTTATAATAAAAATACTTATTTAAGATTTGATTTTAATTACTTGTTTATTCGGTTCAGATCACATTCGATATTTAAAAAAAATAGAACTATTCTGTTGGGCTGGAAGCGGCCCGTTCCCTATTCCCCCCCCCCTAGCGTTAACCAAACCGGGAATTTGGTAGACCGGCCGGTTACGTGAACTTCTCGATGTACGTGTATAAGGGGTGGCCATTTCGGTTATTAACCGAATAACCGAACGGTTGAAGAAGTTAAATAACCGTTCGGGTTCGGTTCGGTTCGGTTAATAACCGAATAACCGCGGTTAACCGAACGGTTATTGAGTTTTTTTTAATATTTTAATTTTTATCCTCATTATTATTAGTATTATTTTTTTATACTTCACTTTTAACCTTATATATTTCACCCAATAAACCATAAAATGTAATGTTTTTAACTTTTATCCTAATTATTGAAGTTTTTAGATTTTTTTTATAATTTTATTTTACATGATTAATCATTTTGTGCATTTATTTAAATAGATATTTTGAAATTTATATAGGATTAATAATTTTTTTAAAAAAATATATCATAACCGAACCGAACCGATCTAAAACCGAACCGAATAAACCGGAAAATATAACCGTTTGGTTATAAATTTATTATGCAAAAACCCAGCCGAACCGAACCGAAACCGAACTGAACCGAACCGATTAAATCTATATAACCGTTTGGGTATGATTTTTTATAACCGAAATAACCGAACCCGAAATAACCGAACCGAAAACCGAACCGAAGCCCGAAATAGCCACCCCTGCGTGCATTAACATGCTGATATATGTAATATGTGTTGTTGTCCTTTATAATAATGCCCTTTAATTTAAATTTCAAAAGTGTACATATACACGAGCTGGTTTTAATAAATAAATAAAAAAAGCACCCAAGGGTTAAGAAGAGACAAAGGACAACGAGTCACCTTTTCATACCACCACTCTCTCTCTCTCTCTCTCTCTCTCTCTCTCTCTCTCTCGGTTCTCACTTAGCAGCCGGAGTGAAAGTAGCTGCGGAACAAAGCTCTTAACACTGGCATCTGTCTGCAACTCATCCATGGCTGCTTTGCTGCTTTCGGTTCTTGTCATTGCCATGGCCGGCCAGTCTAGTAATTTCTGCCACTCTTCTTCAGATTTGTGAAACAAGACCTGGAGTTTGTTCTTGTCTTCTTAGTTAACAAGCTTTTGACTCAGAGTTCCAGTAGCGCTGAACCCATATTTATGGGTTATACTGTTCTTGAGTGTCCTGCTCTGTCTTTGATACGAAGTCAAATATCACCATTCTCTTATGTTCTTTGTGAAGTTACCTGCGGTTGATGTTTTTCTTGGTATTTTGTTCTGTGTGCTTCCTTTGCTCTCTCCTTGAAGATTGGAAAAAATCACAGATTTGTCGTCTCTGGTATCCGGAAATTGTTGTTCCCACTTCCATTTTCCTTCTCTTTGATTTCCTGGGTTTTGGCCTTGTAAAATGTATACCCTCTTTTCAAAGATTCCTTTTTGTGCCACTGTTGATACGTTAAGGTGCGTTATTTCGTCAAGTTTTGCGTTTCTTCGCCTGAAATCTTCTCGGGATCCAAATCACATTTTCCTGAAATCTTGATGGGTTTTGCAATCTACTTGTTTTCTCACAAATTTGTCCAAAACAATTAAAGCTTTACTTTTTCAATCTTTAGCACCTCTTGCTTTGCTTCTCAAAGTTGATGACTTGAGTTTTTCTTTCAAAGCTGAAAGTCCACAAACCCAATTCCAAAATCTTGTCGGGTTCACTCTCTATTGTCCCCCCCTCAAAGAACGTCCCTTCCCCAAAAGGAAGAAGCTATGGATTTTCACCTTCATTTTAGAAAAACACTTTTTTTTTTGTAATCAATCACTTATACTTGCTCCCCTGTGTTTTTTTGGGCATTGGTAGGTGCCACATGGTGTGTGTGCAAGACAGGACTGAGTGATGCAGTGTTGCAGAAGACACTTGACTATGCCTGTGGTAATGGAGCTGACTGTAACCCAACACACCCGAAAGCCCCATGCTTCAACCCTGACAATGTAAGGGCTCACTGTAACTATGCTGTCAATAGCTTCTTCCAAAGGAAGGGTCAATCTCCTGGGACTTGTGATTTCGGCGGCACTGCCACTCCCACAAACACTGATCCTAGTTAGTTCCCCTGAATCTATGTCTTCAATTACAATCCTGGTTTCTTATTATCCTGGTGCAGAAGAAGGCTAGAAGTATTTCTTGATTATTGCTAGATCCATGAGTAGTTTCTGTATATGTTGTTCAAGACTGAATTTTGGTTCAAAGTCTTTGCAAGTTTGAAGGTCTAAATTTGGTCATGGTGATGAAGAAAGTTCCAGTTAGTCTCCTCTTTTTCTGACATTCTTTTCTGGGTGTGTGATGGCTCTATTACAGGTTATGCAGGATGCCCTTTCCCTGCCAGTGCCAGGTATCCATCCAGTTTCTTCTCTGTTACCATCTGTTTATTTTCTTATCCAAAATTCAATACTTTATCAAGAACCTGAAGTTAAGGTTTGCATTTGGGACAGAAAGATCTCTCCTGTCCTCCCTGTCTTCTCTGAGAAATTTTTATATTGAATTAACTTGTGCCTCTTTCTGGTAAATGTTAGCAAAGTGGAGAAAAGCTTGATTAGGGTCCCATGTAATCCATCTTTTGTGTTTTCTTTTACTTTTCTTATGAAAAGAGAAAGCTTGTTTTTGAATAAAGATGTTTTGAATCTATGTGAGCTTATGTATTCAAGACCCTTTTAGCCCGAAAGGATCCAAAAGTGAAATATTTCTTAACAAACTTCTGTGAACATCTATTATCAACTCTACTGTCTTTGAGAATACAGTTTGAATACATGTCTTGGCATCCTTGACTTACGTATATGCGTGGGGTATCATCATCTTTAATCTTTTTGACCCTCGTAATGGACCCGGCAATCATTAAATCGCCCCTCCTTTTGTTGAACTTTGAATTTATATCTCAAATTGTTTACAGTGTGAACGAAATGGCATATGATAGGTAACATCTGAACCAAGGTGGAGCATATGACATGCTACTTATGCTATGCACATGAGACTTACCAGAAAAGGGTAGATAGAAGAAAGAAACATGAGAAAACTACATGAAAGATGAAACCTTTTTAGCTCGAAGGATGAGATTTATGATAAGCAAAACAGTTAGATTTTCGAAGTTTCTTGCTTTAAGTTTCTACTTAGTATTCTGAAAGTTTGCTCTGTTTGCATCGTGTACCTGCCTCCTGTTTCTCTGTGAACTTCATATCCCTGGTTCCCTGTTTAAGCACCGAGCATCACATCGCTTGTTCCTCTCCTTGTGCTATCACTGCAACTTCTTCGAGAATATGGATTTCTAACTGGGAAAGATCAAGAATGACAGTGTTTTGATGTTCTTGATATGTTTGCTCAAAGATTGCCTTATCATATCTTGATCTTGACTCTCTTGAAGTTATGTTTTGTGTTCTTGAATCTTGGGTATGTCTGTTAGTGAAATATGTTGCTGTTGTTTCAGCGCTGCTGCTGGTGGCACAACCATGACTCCCGGCTCAACCAATCCGAGGGGAAACACACCCGCCACGACCACCACCATCCCCGGCGGCGGCAGCGGCCCTTACTCCGCCACTCCATCCACCGGAATCCTTGGAGGCAATGGCACAGGAACCGGTATAAATCCGGATTACTCAAATGACACTGGTTTTGGAGTCCGGAACGCGATTAACAACATGTTGTTCTGCTTTCTCTTGAGCTTCATCAGCGGCTTGTGTTCCGTCTTGATGCTCTGAGAATGTAGGGTAGGGATGTCTCTGGGTTTCCAGTGTTGCAGTGGCTATTGTCTGAAGGACAGTGTTCTGTCCTGCCCTACGTTGTGTTCCTCTAATCGGTGTCCGAAAAAACAAAGTTTGGATCTTTTGTGCCCCTCTTAGTGGTTCTGATGGATTTAATTCTAATATCTTTAAAGAAAAGATGTACCCTTTTAAGCAAATTCTAAGACTCTCTGAATCGTAATCGAGTTTGCTTTGGTTTTGGTTGTCCGGTACTGAGAACCCTCTGGTTTATTGAAAAGATTGTCTTCTTTGGAGAAACAAAAAGAAAAATTCTAAAAGTGTGTTGGTTCCCATTCAGAGAAACTACTACTCCGGCTTCAAGGAAACGATCTCCTTCTTCCGTCTGGCTTCTTCAAAACCTAGTTTTTGGTGTACCCTTTTGCCGCCATTGAAGACCCATTTGTTGAGAACGATGGAAATTACGAACAATACTGAGAATCAATCAGAAAGATGGTCACTTTCGTGATTCGTGAACAAAGACCACTTTCTCCGGTAAAGGCAACACCCAGGAGACAACTTCGATTTTTCGCGGATTTACTGCCTTGAATTAACTTTTTATATGACATTGTGTTCATTATCACTGATTCATTTTTGCAATTACTTGATTCGTGTTCTACTACGGGCTTCTTCTTGGCTTCGTTTGGTTCAAGTTGGTGGGGTGAGAAATCTTTGATTATCGTGACTTGCGTTTTGTGGTTATGATCCTCTGTGGATTAGTGAAATCGATCCTTACTGTTCCTCAAGTTCTCCTCTGCTTGTCATCGAGAATCAAATTGTTACTGTTACTTTTGTTTTGTAGTTTCTATGGATATCAGCCGGGAAGACGTCAGGTGTTTGATTTTATGCTTGAATGAGTGAAAACAAGACTGGTTTTTCAATGAGAAACCCAGAGAATCAGAATCTACATTCTGTTCTTGTTTCGCTTTTGCTTCGGCTAAAGTATCCTGAGATTATAGGAGTGTTGATTGGTGTTGAGACAGGCTTTTTCTGTGATGGGTTCTTGGTAGTTCTTGAATACATTTATTTGGTAGAAAATGCTGTGATTCAGGTGATGTTAGGTTTGATTACCCTGCTTTGTTATGAATCTGAAAACTGTCCAGTTGATGAGCACTGTCCTCAACATTTGCTTGTACCCGCTCTTGCTCTCTGCTTGTTCTTAGCAAAGAATGAAATCCTAGTAGTGTGCTTACTCTTCTTACTTTCATCACCGGAAAGAATTGTAATTTATATTTGATCGTATCGAATTGCTATTCAGGATCCTTGCCAGATATGTGGGAGCAAAGGTTTCGAGGGTTTGATAATGGCCTGCTTCCGGTGCAGAGAAGTGCGAGAGCATACGTAAGAACTCTTCTTTTGAACATCTTGGCTTTGTTTGCAGAATATCCGCTATTGAATTAAACTATCCCCCATTAATGAACCTGCATCAGTGTTCACAGGTGGAATAGGTGTCTGTCCTTTGATGTCCATTGAGATTTTCTTCGACATTTGGTTATGTGAAGTTTGCAGGTCCTTGAATGGAACAATACATACAATGGCTGTCGAGGAGGATTGTACCCTCGATGCTTCTGAAAGGGGAACTGATTCGGAACCAGAGAATTCCAGCACTGCTTCCCGGAAAAGATCAGACGAGAACAGTAAATTAAGAACCCGTCCCGTGGAAGATTTTCAGAACTCTGGAAGAGACGAAAAGAACGTGGAATCCCTATACTCACAATGGCGTACGATAACTCTTCTTTCTCTCTCGCTGCTTAAACCTCCCGGCAGACGTGAAAAGTCGCATCTTTTTACTTCTCTCTCCCTCGAGTTGTTTCAAAATTCTCGGGCTGGATTCTTGAAACTTGCTCATAACTATTCGGATATTGTTTGTGGTTTCCAGGTCTTGAATCATCTCAACAGTTGCCCGATTTCTCACGTCGAGAAGTTCAAAACTGGAGAGTTTTCACTCGGGCCTCCGGGAAAAGCATATGCCAATACTCTAACACCGGGCCTCGTAGAAGGAGGGCGTCTCTCTGAAGATGAAGCCTCTTCTTACATCGAGCATTCCTCCTCGAAACCTCTCTGAATACGATCCTTTTTCGAAGCCTTTGATGTTTCCAAGTTGTAATGTAAATGTTAAGTTCACTTGTTAGGAAGTAGTTAACTGTTTACTGTCTTTGATGGACAAAAGTGTTGTATTTGGAAACGTAGGCAGAGAGACAGGGTTGTTGCTTTCTGTCTCAGGCAACAGGCACTCGTTGGTAATTGGTTTGAAAAAATTAGCATTGGTTATCTCCGGTTTGGTTATGACCTTCGGTTTAGCATTTTGCATTAACGGTGGTAATTGAATTTCGGTTTTCTGCTGAAATTCCGAATTTGGCTTAGGTGTTGGTATGATTTTTTTTCCTGTTCGTACTGTTTACGCAATAGAAAATTCATAGCAATGATTTCTTAATTTTTGCTAATCGACTTTATTTATTTATTTGTTGGAAAAAAAATGGAAAATTTTAATAAACAATAACCCTTCGTACAAAAGCGTCACTAAGTTGCCGGCGTGTCGTCGTTTTGCAAAGGATGAAGATAAAAGGAGACGGCCATTCGTCCATGTTTGGTGGATTCGATTCAACAAACTTCCGACAAATATCCTCCGTCTTCTCCGAGTCTCCCGTCTCTCCAATGGCGCTTAAACCAAACCCTCAGATTTCTCCGTTTCTGAGTTCATGAAGCTTCAAGGTCTCTGTCTTGTGCTTTTCTCCTCATTTTCCCTATTTTCAGCAGAAGGGTATGTCAGGTTACTGCTCAACAACTTGTCTCCGGTGGAAAACTCGAAGCTTTTGTGAGTTTCTCTGACGGGTATTTCTCTGATCGATCTCCGTATTGTTTGGTGGTGTAGGGCTTTGGGGCATTGCTAGTTGCAGTGGTTCTCTCAAGTTTCTTGGTTTTCGATTGGAAGTTACTTGTGTTGCGCTGTCGAGGTTGAGCTCGTTTCTCGCCAGTGCAGAGACCATTTGGTGTTTGTATTGATTGTTGGAGCGTCATTTGGTCGTTTGGATTGTCCTAAAGATTAATTAGGGATTGTTTTCTGCACTTGCTGCTTAAAGTTTGGATGCGAAGCTGTTCTATTTGGCCTCTGTTTCAGTTTGTTCTGGAGAAGTTGGCTTGTGTTTGGTACTGAGATTTAGAGGCTTGATTCTCCTGTTTGCCCTGTATCTGCCTTGTGTCAACGGTTTCCACGGATTGGCTTTCTGTCTTAGAGGCATTTATCGGTCTTGTGGGATAGATGAACGGTTTGATTCTGAAGGAAGAGTGAGTTGGTGGACCATAATATTACCTGTCATGGAAATGGTCTTGCTGAATCCTGTGGTACCTGAAGTTGGGATGAAGAGACACTGTAATGTTGAATTCTGATGTCCTCGGGATTCTTGAAGACGAGAGAGGGAGAGAGGAGAGATGGATCTATGGTTAATTGCAGCCACAGCTGCCACAGGATATATAGCCAAATATGTGCAAAATGTATCAAAAGGTAAAGATAACTTTACTGAGGCTTCTTCTGAAGATTTTTCTAATGTGAAGCCAGAATCTCCTAGATGCATGGTTAGCAGATTGGTGGGTGTAAAGAAACCAAAGGAAGAAAGTTTTGAGACTAGAAGAATGATAACTGATGGGAAAAGCTTGGATATTCAGGAACGTGACAATGCATATAGAATGGAAGAACCATCTACCAGTGCAGAGGGCTCGGGAAATAATGAACGTATTCATTCAGATTATTCGGTCAGTTCAGTGCCCGAGTTTGCAGATAATGGAAGTCAAAATTGGCCAATCCATGATTTTCCTATGGGTGACAGAAAAACAAATCTTTTTCAGAGTTCTTTTAGGAACAGAACATTTCTGAGGAGAAAACAACAACGATACAAGCGTCTTGTCCAACCTTTGAACTCTGTAGAAAGCTGCCTCATAACTCAGTTTCATAGGGAGCAAATGAATATGGAAGAATACATGCTTAGCCCGTTTCCATCACCTTGTGCTCCAGTTACAAGGCCATTGCTCGTGACTGATGGAACACGAGTGATTAACGCAAATAGTTTAGGGCCTTTGAGCGGACAGATTCAGAATGAAGATAGGACTGATCATGCACTCGGGATCCCTCCGCTTACAAAATTGCAGTCTTCATCTGTATCTAATAAGAGGAGAATCGGAAACAGAAGGACAACTGTTAGCAGAAGACATGCTCATGGACATGGTAAGTTCGTGCTATCTTTTAAACGTAAGATTGTTTTATACGGGCTAAGGAGAAGATTTAATATGTTAGCCTTTTCCTTTTCCTTTTTTCTCAGGACCAAATGATACAGCCCTACTTTTATGCATTGGGATATCAATCGGAATGATCTCCTTCTTCATTGTAAGGAAAACCGAAGTGGATAAACTCAAGAATGTGCTAAAGCAGACAGAGAACTTGGTGCAGGATCTACAAGATGAGCTCGAGATGAAAGATTCATTGACGGTGAGGGAGCTAGAAAATGAGAACAAAAAGAACAATGATCTTGACTGCGTAGAAAATGATGGTAGGCAATGTGGTCAAAAGGCCGAGAATTCAGAATCTATGAGTAAAATCGAGGCAGAGCTTGAAGCTGAACTGGAAAGGCTAGAGCTCAACATAAACACATCCAACATCGAAACACAACTCTCTGATACGATTGGGGTAAGCTTTACACTCTTAGTCATGCTATTTCTTTTCTTTTACTTTAATCAGCATCTCGTTTGCTCTATTATCTGCTTTATTCGTTGTGAAACTTCTCTTTGCTGCATTAAATTTTCAGTTTTTCCATTATGTTTAAGAAAACTTAATACTCGGAATCTTTTTGTCAAACTTCAGTAAGAAATTCAGTTTGGTAAATTTCCCTTTGGAAAATTTTGCAGCTGGATCCAGAATTCGAAGTAGACTTTGCACGAGGCGAACTGAGAGCAGATAGGATTAAAAGGCAACCTTTCGAGGAAACCGAGTCCAACCAGGATCCAAGTGGCAACTCCACACCCGAATCAGGGAATTATGCAGTCTCACCTCGTGAGTTGAGCTTGCGGTTGCATGAAGTTATCAACTCACGTCTTGAAGAACGGATCAAAGAACTCGAGGTGGCCCTTCGAGAGAGTCAGAGGGAGGTGGAGCAGATGCGAATGGAAGCAGAACACAAAAAGAATTCATGGTCAAGGTTGTGGGAAAGCCATGATGAAGTGATTAGACATGAGAGAGAGCGGGAAACTCCAGTTGCTATGGAACACACAGAGAACAATCCCGTGGAGACAGAACCTCTGGTTATGAACTTAGCAGGAGAAGCGCTTGATGCTTACAATGACGCTTACGATGAACTGATGAAAATCAACGAGGACTCGGAAGAAGAAGAAGATTTGCCCACCAAAACACATGAAGAAAGGAATCGAGAAGGATTGTTGATGGGCAAGAACACACCTTGGAACCACAAGAGATACATAAAGGACCCCTCGAGAACGGAAGAGAATGTGAACTTGAGCGTGCAGGAACTGCTAGATCTTGTTGGTCTGAGTGAAGATGAAGATGAAAACAGCGACTGCGAGAGTGAGATGGAGAAGCAATTGATAAAGCAGATAGTTGAGAAAACAAAGCAAGGATCTCCTGTCGTGCTGAATGCTCAGAAGATGCTATTTCTCATGGAAGAAAGGGAAGAGAATCCATGAGAGTGGTGAAACCTTGACTCTTGTCTGAAGCAGACTTGCACGTCTAGTTAGTGTGTAGAAATGTAGATTCGTGAACTAAAGATCTTTCATTTTTTTGGGTCTAATTGTGATGCACACAATTGTTGCAATCAATGACAAGAACAATGCCAAACTCTGGGAAAAAAATATAAAAGAGAATGAAAGCTTTAGCTACAATTCTTTCTCCAATTGCGCAAACACTATTGTTTTCAGACAGGTATATGGTGGCACTGTCACAAGCACAACAAATATAAAGATATAAACAGGAAGAGTACATGAGTTAACATTAAAAAAAAACATAACAAATTTGATTGGTTCATCGTCCATGTTCTGAATCTTCATGCTCTTTTGGCAACATCGCTATCATCCATCTCTCCGTCCTTCCACTGGTTCATCACCCATATTCACATGATTGTTGTTGTTGTTTCCAAATTGACCCTCGCTCCTTAATCCACCACTGGAATCAAAGTGGTTATTGCCACTGAAATCTCCACCGCTGACGTCAAACTGGTTGTTGCCTCCAAAGTCACCACCGACTTGAGAGCTGCCACCTTCATACCCTCCACCGGTTCCACCTTGGATGTAACCATCACCCCTACTACCACCACCATAACCACCACTACCGCTACTGGCTCCATAGCCACCAGCACCGCCTCCATAGCCACCACCACCAGGGGGGCCATAGTTTCCACCAAACCCAGAACTACGGACACCACCTGATCTATCGTTTGCATAGTTCACTCTAATATACCTACCATGGAGATCCTGGAAGATTTAAAAGCGGAGAGGGAAAGGAATCAGTGAGAAAAATCAAAACTAAGACTGTTACTACACATTTCGGGTGCTCATCAAATTAGTCATCGAACAAGGACTGGTCGGTCAATAGTAATTACCTTTCCATCCAATGCCTGGATAGCGCTAGAGGCTTCCTCAGAAGAAGTGTAAGTGACAAAACCAAAGCCCCTTGACCTACCCGTTTCACGGTCAACAATAACCTTAGCTAGAGAAATTATAGAAGTCGGTTCAGCCCCTTCCGGTATTGCA